GAGAACAGCCTGGAGGTCAGACCCCAGGGTCTGGATGTACAGGATGGAAAGTGAGGCAGGAGCAGCTGATGTTGGAGCCGTGTCATTCTCTTCTTCTCCAGTGCTGCTGCAGAGCTCAGAGCCAGGGGAGCAGGGTCTCTTCCAGGCCTTCCTGGAGCCCCTGGGCACCCTGGGCCATTGTGGGGCTGTTGGTCTCCTACCACCAGATGCAGCAGCTCCCTCTGGCTGGGCCCAGGCCCCACTCAGTGACACCATCCAGGTCTACATGGAGCTTCAGGTGACCAGAGGGGCCTGGAGGGATTGAGAAGAATGCTGGGTGGAAGGGAACAACTGAGGAAGAGGTGGAGAAGGTGGAGGCCTGGGCAAGCTGCAAATGTCTCAGCCTTTTTCCCCTGTTCTTCCCCAGGGCCTGGTGGACCCCCAGACCCAGTTACCTCTGCTAGCTGCCCGAAGGCACAAGTTGCAAAAGCAGTTTGATGGCCTCATGGCCCGGACCCCATCGGAAGGGGAGGCAGAGACCCAGAGGCAGCGAAGGGTGAGGCTTGGGGTGGCCACCCTGGAAACATGAGTTCTGGAGGGAGCTTGGGCTGGGAGGATGAACTGTATCCTCACCTTCTCCTCTTACAGCTTTCCTCCCTCCGCCTGGAATTGTCAAAACTGGACCAGGCAGCCTCTCACCTCCAGCAGCTGATGAATGAGTCTCCTAGCCCCAGGAGCTCTGAGCTCTAACTCACCAGCCCTGTCAGTCCTTCTTCCTAGACATGTATTTGGGGACAGCAGATCTGTCAGTGGTTAGGGTCTGATGGGAACTCAGACTAGTGGTCCACCTTTCTCATTTTGTAAATGAGGAAGCAGACTGGCCTGGTCACCATGACTGGTATCCTCAAGATGCACGGGTTACCCCCTGAGCCTTACACTTGCTCAGGGTTAGCCAGGACATTTGGGAATGAGGAATTCAGATAAACTTTTAAAATCTCAAGAGTCAGATAGCAGTGGCACATACCTGTAATCCCAGTTACTGGGGAGGCTGAGGTAGGAGGATTGCAAGTTCATGGCCAGCCTGGGCATCGTAGTAAGATCCTGTCACAAAATAAAAAAAAATAATAATAGGAGCTATAGATGTAGCTCAGTGATGGAGTGCCCCTGGGTTCAGTCCCTAGTACTGAAACAAACAAACAAACAAACAAATAAATAAAATAAAATCCCAAACACATTTGCCTGTGGTCCTTTTTTCCTCTTTCCCTTAATGGTGACTTTCTTGCCTGTCCATTATTCCCTGACAGCCTGGACTGGAGACGAAGGCTACCTGTTAGTTTGGGTCTTTTGACTGCATGGGAGTATGGGTGCTGGGTGGCATCTGTCTTGCTGAGGGAAGCTTTCCAGTGGTGGGGCAGGGCACAGGCTCAATGACCATGGCCCAACCCCTGGCAATGTCCTGGCTGCTGCAGGGACTTCCTTCAGCCTGCAGGGCTGTAGAGTGCATTGGGAGTTATGTGCCTTCTACCTTTTGTGCAACTGAGACCTGAGCACCACAGTCACAGTGCTCAAACCCTGACTGAGTTATGTGCAGATATACAATTAGCCACCCTACCCACCCCAAACACCCTTGTCTCATATCAGCGGAATTAGAAGTACTAGCCCTTCTGCACCCAAATTCCATTCTATTCAGCAGCTCTAAGTTGCTATTTGTGGCAAGTTGATCATGGGCTGGGTCCTCCATGGTTCTCCAGGTATAATACCATTTAATCCTACCAAGCACCTCGTGAAGTGGGCGTTAGCTTCATTCTGGAGATAAAGAAATGTGCTCAGACTGAAAGTAACTTATCCAAGGTATCAATGGGGATTTAACCCAATTTATTTAACCTTATAACTTGCAGGTCCTTTCTGGATGCTGGAATCAAACTTCCTAATGGGGATTTAGATAAGATGGATGTTTCTCTTTCTGGGCATAAGTAGAGGAGAGTTTTGCAATAATGGGAGTCCATGTCCATTTTAATCCTATTTTCCTACCATTCTGATATGCTTTCTAACTGTGTCCAAGATCTGCTCCAGCTCCTAGCACCATGTCTGTGTCCCTCCCTGGAGGGAAGAGAGAAAGAAGGGGCGAGCAGTCCCCTATTTCTTTTCCCCAGGTTTGACAAGTTTTTCTTGATGCCTACTATGTGCTGGTACCTATCAGAAATAAGTAACATGGGTCAATAAGTAAATGATACAGCATTTTTTGAAAGTTATAATGCTAATAGGGGAAGAAAGGGTAGAATAGGGTAAGGGGACTTGAATGTGTTGTGTAGGAGGCAACTCTGTAATATTAAATAGGGGAGCAGGGTTGATCTTATGAAAGTGAAGTTTGAGCAAAGACTTGTGGCAGGTGTGGGAATTAGCCAAGTAAATGTCTCAGGTAAAATGTTCTAGATGATGTGAAAAGCCAGAGCTTATGTGGACATGCTTGGGGTGCTCAGAATAGCAAGGAGGCCAGTGTGTGGGGCACAGCCAGCTCAGGGAGGCTCAGGGAGGTGAAGTCAGCAGCTGAGGGAGACAGTGAGGAATAGGGACGGCTCAGGATCTTTCAAGGCTGTAATGTCCAAAATGGTTGACTATTTAATACAATTGAAATGAAATAAAATGAGACATTCAGTTCCTTAGTCACACTAGTCACATTTCAGTTGTTTAATATCCATAGGTGGCTAGTGGCTACTACATGGTCAGCATAGTTATAAAACATTTCCATCACCACAGAAAGTTCTTTGGAGACGAGTGTGGTGGTGCATGCCTGTAATCCCAGTGGCTCAGGAGGCTGATGCAGGAGGATCACAAGTTCAAAGCCAGCCTCAGCAATCGTGAGGCACTAAGCAACTCAAGTGAGACCCTGTCTCTAAATAAAATACAAAATAGGGCTGGGGATGTGGCTCAGTGGTTGAGTGCCCCTGAGTTCAATTCCTGGTATGCCCTCCTCAAAAAAAAAAAAAAAAAAAAAAGTTCTGTTGGAAAAAACATTGTATTGTAGGTAGTTTTAAAACCCGAGTTTTTTTCTCTCTGAAGTGGAAGCCCTTTTCTTTCAACTTAGTACACATTTCCTTTCTATTTGCATCCTCTTGGACAAACCTAACCACATGGCCATACCTATTCGCAAGGGAGGCTGGGAAATGTAACATAATGAGCTATGTGCCCGAACTAAGATGTATGTGAATGTCGAAAATGAGAATGACTATTAGGGGGATGGCTAGCCATCTCTGTCACCCCCAGTTCCAGTGATATCCAAAGCATTCTCTTCATTGTACTGCTCTGTTTCCAATCTAGGAAGATAATTCTTGAAGAAAAGAATCTGGAAACCATGCCCTGGTGATTCCAGGCCCTGAGATCTAGGAACCTGGTTGGGGAATAGTTTGCTATCTGTTTCTCCAAGAGAGGGATTCAGATATCCAGTCCCCAAACTTGCCTGGGGATGTGCACATCTGGACCATGGGGGTCACCTGCTCACTAGTTCAGACTAGGGGCAAGTCATGAAACACTGGTTTCCTTTGGGACCCCCTGGCTACCTCTTCTCAGGGCTGTCTCAGGACAGTTAAAAAGGATAGTAGAGGAACTTGTTTTTGGTTTCTTCTTCCATTTCTATGCTTCATCACATTCAGGTATGTTCACTATTCAACTCTTGTCTTCCCTACCACCTTCTAGGGAAGCCAGACTTTCCTCTCATATGGTGGTGATGGTGGCTGGGTGGAGATGGTGGGCAGAGGCAGGAACTGGGGAAGAGAGGAAGCAATCATAACACCCATAAGGGGTCAGTTTTGGGCTTCAAACTTGTGTCTTGAGAAGTGGTAAGAAACCCAGTTGAGCGACCAGTGAGCTACATCCCCAGCCCTTTTTATTTTTTGTTTTGAGAGATGGTCTTGCTAAATTGCTGAGACTGGCCTTCAACATGAGATCTTCCTACCTCAGCCTCCTGAGTAGCTGAGATTACCAGTGTGTAACGTTGCTCTAGGCAAAATCCAAATCATTTTGAGAGGAGTTATGTGAATGCCTGTATCAAGAAAATAGAATGTAAAGGTACCTGAACTCTTGAAGTGACTAGGTATTTCTACCATAAAACCAGTACTTCCTGACTATACCCACATGGGCATGGTTGTGTGATATGCTCTGTTATGTCCCCAGGGAGCTTATCCATGTAATCCTCACAACAGTCCTATGGCACAGGACTATGTTGTCCCCATTTTATGGGTAAAGAATTGGAGGCTCACAGAAAATAAAAACCTTTTAGGACTCAGGGAGTCCTGTGTGACCACAGATTCATGTGGTTATCTGGCATAAGCTCACCTAACAAGGGTCCCACAACTTGGGCCAGGCTGGCCAACCTCTTGGACTGAAGCCCCTGCCCCTCTCTTAGCTGTCTCCCACCCTGTCCTCATCCTGATTGGCTTGTGTGGATCCCTGGGCCAGGGGACCATGTCCTGGGGGTGTTCTGTCCACATACCTGTCTGATATTCCTGGGCCCTAAAAGCTTAAGCCAAGGGAGATGAAATTTAAATCTTGCTTAAACCAAGATATCTGGCTGATGCTTGAACTCTCCATTACTATTAAACTTTGGGCAAGTGATTTGTCTTTTCTGAGCTTCTTTTTGCTCATTTTGTGAAATAAGATATGATACCTATTAGGCTACATTTGAGACTGTCACAAGCATTAAGATAGGAAAGCATGAGGCCTGGAATAAACAATTGGAATAAATAATTTGATAACTGTTACTTTCCTTTATTCCCAGGTGTTCTGAAGACTTCTGCTGGAAATGTGTGTTCGTGTGTGTGTGTGTGTGTGTGTGTGTGTGTGTGTGTATGCGTGCATGTGCCCATGCCTAATAGTTAATTAATTCCTCAGATTCCTTCTAGACCTTTATGGTGTTGAGAGTTCATCCTGGAACACTCTGCTCAGGAGTGGGGAGGGTCAGAGTCTTGGGCATCCAACACCCACTTTCTGCCGCCCTGTATTCATGGATTTGTCAAGTCAAGACATTGGATATAGCATTTTATTGGCACACAACAGGACAAGAATCTGTTGGAAGACAGGGTCAGGATATGACCTTGCACCCCAGGGGACTGATTCCCTTAGCCAACACAGGCTTCAGTTATTTTCAGGCTTTGCAGATGAAGTTGTGCGGGGTTCCTTCATGATGGAGGGTGACGTTGGTCTCTGATGGGAGGTGGAGAAGAAGGCAGAGCTGGGGAACAGAAAGGGATAGAGGATGAGGTTTAGGATGGCTCCTTACTCTCACCCTTGAGACAGCCAGACCCCTGCAGAGATACTCAAACCCCATACTTTCCCCTCCCCAGATTCTACCCTCTTGAGCAATTCCAGGAAGCTGGAGTCATGGGAGACATTTGCCAGAAAAGATGCCTTCAGCTTCATTTGCAAAGTCACGCTTGGCCCTGGGGATCCAAAAGGACGCAGAAGTCAGAGCAGTGAACCTCTAAGGAGGCAGGCACCCTCCTGTGATACACTTTCCCTCTTGGGGCAGGGTTTCATTCTGTTTTTTCAGAAGCTCAGCACTGAGATACCTCCATTTTTTTTTCCCAGAGGCCAAGAAGTCCCCCTCACCTTCTTCTGATTCTCCTTGCCCTGAGGACCCAGGTGTTCACCCTCTAGCACTCACCTGCTCCATATGAGCTGCCAAGAAGGGCCAGGAGGAGGAAGAAGGGCAGCGCAGACCACATCGTAGCCACCTTACAACTCTATTGTAAGGAAGAGATATCTGAAGTCCTAGGTGGCCTCTCCTTACCCTCAGTCCTTAGCACCTGTGTTTGGCAGAAAGGGTGTGGGGGTCTGGGCAACTGGATTTTCCAGTTCTCTCAGTAAGGTTTTGAGGACCCTGGAGAGGGCCATTCACTGGGCTCTTGGGGAAAGTAGAGTGGTCCCCTTGGAGATCCAGTGGTGTAATCTGTTTGTGTCAGTGCAGCTTGTGTCCCACCCCTTCTCCATGTTGTCAAGCTTGGGGGGCAGGAAGAGGGAAATGGAGAGGGAAGCAGGGAACTAGGGAGGTGTCCTGCCTGCAGGTGTCTGGATCCCACCCAGGTCCAGCCTCTCATTAGGGATTAATTATTAACTACTGTTAATTGTCATCATTCCTGCCACCAAAGGGCTCAGGAATGTGGGCCCCAAAGGGAGGGGTGGATTAAGCCTGGCTTCTTCCTAAGCCCAGGTATCCTGCTTTCTAGGTGAGGATAATGGGGTAATGGGTAAACTTTCATCTTTGAATGTTTTGATTTAGTTGCTCTAACACATCCTAAATACTCAGGTGGAGACACATTTCATCCACTATCCTCCCCCATTTCTGGGGGATACTACATACTCCAACCAAGACCCGGAGTCACAGGCATGCAGGCAGAAGGGTAAGCACAAAGGGAGCTGGGGGCCTATCTAGTTTTACTGCCCTTCTTTAAAAACTAGGAAACTAACTGCCCAGAGAGGGTTAATGACTTGCCAAAGTCACCTAGCAGGTCAGTAGCGGAGGGATTAGTCCCTCATGATGCTAGACACACAGGAACATGCTCAACAGACTGACACTCAAGTGACATCTAAACCCACTTGATCACACAGGGGCACAGGTTCTGCATCTTCTGTCTCTTCCCTGTGTCACCCTTTGCTCCTCCAAAAACAGTGGGACTGAGTGCTGAGGGGTAGAGGCAGAGGGACCACTGGGAAGAGTCAAGGAGAGAAGCCCAAAGCAAAGCAAGACCAGGGAGTTGGAGAGAGGGAGGGAAGGCGGCGGGTTGGGGGGGGAGAGAGAGAGAGAGAGAGAGAGAGAGAGAGAGAGAGAGAGAGACTGCATCCTAAACCTGCAGTGAGACCTCCAGGGACTCACATGCTTCCTTGAGGAAGCAGGAAGACCCAGTGGGAAGGAAAATGGGCAAAAAGAGCAGCAGACGTAGGAGGGGAAGAAGGGTGGACACAGAGAGATACACTAGGGTGTCTGGATCTTCCTGAGAGAGGAGCACCTTGTTTCTTTCCCAGCCGGTGTTCCCCTCTTTCTACATAACCATAGACAAAATGACTGTGTGCTAGGCTTCTTACAAACACTATTTCCTTTAACAGTTATAAGGACCCTTTGACTTATTTTGTGGTGTTGGGAAAGGGTCGTGTGTTTGCTAGACAAGTGCTCTACCACTGAGCTATATCCTCAACTCTATAATGACCCTTTGTAGTGAGTCCCAGATCACCCCTGTTTATAGGTGGAGAATCTAAGACATAGATAGGATGCCTGAGGATCCACAGCTCAGCAGTGGTAAATGCCCGTACTGCAGACTCAGCCCCAAAGCTGAACTTCTGGAATTCAGGGTTGTGTACATTGTGCCTGAACATGACTAGTGCCTTCCCTGATGTGCCTCTTCTTCCTTTGCCCCTTCTCTGCCAAGGAGACAGGAAACTTTGCATGCTGCAGCTGACTAGGTGAGAGATTGAAACAGACTCAAAATCTCTCATACGGAGAATTAAAGCTCCAAATTGTTTTGATTTTTAAAATTCTTTACACTGAGAATATAAATTACCGTGCGCCCCACCGACTTACTCTTAGGTCACACTGTCTAGCTAATCTACATATGTCTGTTTCCTGCTGTTCTACTTTGCTGCCTCTGCTTATAAAAGCTTTCCTGGCTCTTAAGTTTTCTGAAGATGGTGATTTGAAACATAAAAGTTTCCTCTATCTTTCTTCAGATCTGGCTTTGAATAAAACTATTTTCTTGCCAATTTGACTGCAAGTATTTGTGGAGCAAGGTGAGTGGTAAAACCTACCTGGTCCCACCCACCCAGTGCAGTAACAAGATACCTCAGGTATCCAGTCTCCCACTCCACCCTGGGGTCTCCTGAAGGTCAGGTGCACAGTCCCCAGGCCTGACCATCTCTCCTTGCAGCATCAATTCCCAAATCCTGCTTTCCTGAGGGACCCCTATGTTCTGACCCTCAGTAGTTGTATTTTTAGGAGTGAGAAGAGAACCTTAGGATAGTATAATTGGGACTGCCTGTTTTGAGGAGGGCTGAGCTGAGGACCAACTCTGGCTTCGGGGGTAGGTTGCTAGTACATGAAGAGCTCATCCATTTAGAGAACTTAGGCTCAACTTGTGGCTCAGAGTGGGGATTCTTGTGCTCTAAGTGGAGCCCAGCAGTTTTCCAGGGCTTCTTGTGGCTCTACAAAAGCCTCTCTTCCTCAGCAACTTTGTGAAACCCTGTCTAAAAATAAAAAATAAAAGGACTAGGATGAAACTGGTGGAAAAGAACCCCTGGGTACAATCCCTAGTACAAAAAAAAAAAAAAAAAGCAAACAAACAAACAAACAAGCAGCCCCCCAAACTCAAACCAAAACAAACTACAAACAAAACCAACAAAGGCCCATCTTTCTGTTTTTCCATTCATCAACTTTTTCTTATGTTGGTGAATGTCGTACTTGCCTAAGTTGCCCCCCAGCATCCCCTGTCATGAAAACATTGATGTATGCATTCTTCCAGAAACTTGACCATTTTTTTAAAATAACTTTTTAGTTGTCAGTGAACCTTTATTTTATTTATTGATATGTGATGCTGAGAATCGAACCCAATGCCTCACACATGCCAGGCAAGTGCTCGGCCACTAAGCCTCAGACTGAAACTTAAATCATTTTATTTCTCAAATTTAAGTCTACCATCCATCCCAAATTAATTGCTGTGTATGAAGTGAAGTAGAGAAAAAGCAAGATTCATGAATTTTCCCTTCTGGTTATCCAGGCACCCAGAACTATTTATTTCAGACTCTCCCCTCTCCTCTCCTCAAGTTGCAAGAGTACTTCAATTAAGTCAAGTGACCAGATCTGTATGCTTCTATTTCTGGGCTCTGTGCTGGCCTCTATCTGGCCATTCTTACTCCAGTGCCACAGTGTTTAGTGACTGCTTTGTGGCAAACCCTGAGATCTGAGAATGTAGGCCCTCCACTTCTGTTTTTCTTTAAAATCATCTTGGCTATTTTCAGTCCTTAGATTTTTATAGAATCAGTTCAATTTCTTTTCTTTTTTCCCTTTTTGGTACAAGGGATGGAACCCAGGGCACTTAACCAGTTCTTTTTATTTTGAGACAGCATCTTGCTAAATTCTTGGGCCTCCAGAGTTTCTGGGATTACAGGCATTCGCTATCATGCCCGGCTAAAATCAGTTCAATTACTACCCAAAGCTCACTAGGATCTTGAGAGAGAATGCACTAGAGATGATTTCTGCTTTGCTCTAGTTTGGATCTCTTCTAATCATTTCTTTCCCTCTGCCCACCTAGGATCTGTCTCCTCCCTACAGACCATGGAACTGCCCCAATCATGCCAGGGACTTCTGCGTCAAGTGTGGTCATCTCAGAAGCTTACACTTCCACAGTGGCTGGAGTGGCCACCCCATCTGCCGCTCTCAGCGTCCGGACCAGTGAGGCACTCTCACATCTGCTTGTTGCTTAATAACAGGGATAAGTCTGAGAAATGGGTCCTCAGGCAATCTTATTGTGTAAGCTTTATAGAGTGTACTTATGCAAGCCTAGATAGTATGGGTCAATCACTTGAGGTGGCCTCTTGGTGCAATCAAGAAATGTGTTAGGATTGGGGATGTAGCTCAGTGGTTAAAAAAAAAAATGCAGTAAACTGGAGATGTACATGTCTGTTGCTAGCAAAACAAAGCAGACCATTTTACAATAAAGTAGAAGTACATGCTAAAATGATGATAAAAATATAGTAAATGCATAAACCAGTAGTACAGTTGTTGCTAACCATTATCAAGTCTTATGCACTAACCATAATTGTATGTGCTGTACTTTTTTTTTTTTTTTTGAGACAGGGTCTTGCTGTGTTTCTCAGGCTGGCTTTGAACTCCTAGACTCAAGTGGTCCTTGCCTCAGCCTCTCTAACAGCTGGAATTATAGGTGTGTGCCACAGTGCCTGACTCCTGCTATGCTTTTATAAGTGGTGGTGTGACAGTAGTTTATGCCGTCATCACTACACACACGTCAAATACATTGTGCTACCTTACAATGCTTACAACACTAGGTGGTAGGAATTTTTCATCTCCATCATAATCTTATGAGATCACCTTCATATATGTGGTTTGTCATTAACCAAAATGTTATAATGTGCCGGTATTAGGTGATTGTTTCTTCCAGTAAAATGTTAGGTCCATTCTCTCCCCAACTCTCCCTATTTTTTTAAATTGGTTCATTATAGTTGTACATAATCATCAGGCCCATTCTCTCTTATACCCTTGCAGCCACCCTCTGGATTCTGGAGAGGACTATGGTATGAGAAATAGAAAGTCCGTGATCCATTTTCAGAATATAGTATCTTAATTGGATCCAGTTGTAGCCATTTCAATTATAGCCTTTCCCTTTGCCCAACCAAATTTTAAAATCAACCAATTGCTAATTGAAACCCTGAATGCCTCCAATCAGAGTGAAGGGCAGCACTATATTAGGTTAGGGATATAAACTGGTGGACTTCCCATCCAGATGCACTTGCTAGCCAGGTTCTGTAGCCCCTCCTTCTGTCAGAAGTAAACACCTTGCCCGCCCACCTTCCAACACATGTTTGATTTCTTGCAGCACCTTAGTATTTCTAACAATGAGAACAGCCATTAGTACCTCCCTTCCACTGTATTTTGAGTTTGTCTCCTCAGACAAATAATGCCTGTTATCTTATAGGGATCACAGTTCTACTCCAACATGGGTCAGATTAAGAGCAGATGTCTGGTACCCAAAAGGTTTCGATTTTTCTTTTTTGTTGGTACCGGGGATTGAATTCAGGGGTACTTAACTACTGAACCACATCCCTAGCCCTTTTAATATTTTATTTTGAGACAGGATCTCACTAAGTTGCTCAGGCCCTTGCTCAGTTGCTGAGGCTGGTTTTGAACTTGCAATCCTTCTGTCTCAGCCTCCCAAGCTGCTAGGATTTCAGGCATGCACCACTGTATCCGGCTAGTCTTTCTTCTTCATGGCCCAATCTGTCTGCCCAGGGCAGGAGGCACCCTTCCAGAGATCTTGCTCTCCTTCTGCCCCCTGTCTTCCTCTTTTCCTTCTGTTCATTCCTGATGAGCTTGAGGAGTCTATCACCCAAGTAATCTGAGGACAGGAAATAAATGGAGGGAAGATGGAACAACAGGCTGTGGTATCCCTGAGGGACCAGAATCGAGAGAGGAAAAAGGAAGGCTGGGGCTCAGAGAAGGAGACTGCCCACCTGGGGACTCTCAGTGCAGAGAAGGCACAAGCTTGAGAGAGACAGAAGCAGAGCCTGAGATAAGGAGGAGGGTTCAGAAAGAGGAGAGAGGCAGATATCAGCAAGAAGTCTGGGGATTGTCTAGCAGGCAAGGTGGCACATGCCTGTAATCCCAGCAGCTCAGGAGGCTGAGACAGGGAGGATTACAAGTTCAAAGTAAGCCTGAGCAGTGAGGCCTTAAGCAACTCATGGAGACCCTATCTCCAAATAAAATAGAATCAGTAGTTAAGCGCCCCTGGGTTTAATCTGTAGTACCCCCCAAAAAGTCTGGGGACCAGTAGACATGTTTCCAGATGTTAAGGAAGAGGTGACGGGGGCTTGTACTTAAGTCCTTTAACCCCCACTGCATTGCAGTTCTCATGCCAAAATGATAGGAGAGAATGGCAGAGGGAATGATGTCTTTTCGGACATCAGAGTCATGGAAAGAAAGGGGTAAAGTCAGGGGGGGCAGTAGAGATGTGGGAACTAGAGGACCCCCTTGCCTTGGTCACTGTCCCTATCTTTGTTCCTCAGTCATGAAGGCTCAGGAGAAGGGCTCTGTCATTGACTGGGGACATCATGCTGTTATCTCTTTCTAGTGACAGCAGTTGCCAACCTAATGTATGGAATCATGGATGTGTGTGGCCCAACTTTGCCCCCAAGTCCAGTGGGACTGGAACCTGGTGGTTAGGACTCTGAGAAGAACAGGGGTTCAGGGAGGAGGATGATAGCTTAGAAGTGCGGAGGGGACAAGGAACCTGACCCTAGGGGCTGGGAGGAAGCACTGGCCTGGCAGGGGTAGGGATTTGGGGCCACTGAAAGAGGCTGGGCAGTGCCAATGGCTGATCAGTCCCTGGAGGCGCTAAATAATTCTAGGCACTGCAGACCCAAGATTTTTAAGTCATCCTATTCATCTCTCATCTCACAGGCTTTCCAGTTCCACAGGGAGCTGAATTTGGGGAGTGGTGATAGCTCTGTGACCTTCTATAGATATGACCATGAGCCATCTCTAGTTCATCAAATGAAGGGATGCGCCAGGATAGCTGAAAACCCCTTCCCCATTGGATGTTTTGCAATCTTCATCCTCTCCCAGGAGCCCCTGTCCCATCTACCCTCTCTGGGGCCATTTATTGCGGGTGAGTTCCTCCGTCACTGGGTCCCAGGTCTCTTCCACCAACAGTGCCAAGGAGGCCCAGGGAGGTCTGTAGTCAGTCACCACTGGGAGCTGGGATTCCAGTTCTGATTCCCCCTGCTCCCTGCTGCCATCCCCATGGACTGGGGAAAGGCACCCACAGTGGCAGTTTTCTCATCTGTAGAAGGAAGGGCCAGGGCTGGAAGGGCCAGAAAGCTTCCAGCCCTCATGGAGTCTAGGTCAGGGCAGCTGGAAACTTCACCATTCACCCTTTCTTCCCATTCCTACCCCTCTCACCAGGTATCAGACAAGGTCCTTATCTGAGGACAATTTGATCCAGTCATCGGGGATACAGGAGCAGGTGGGGGGAGGTTCCCTTTCACCCTTCCTTTCTTAGGGAGCTCCCTCAGGTTGGATCCTGACCCCCTTCCACCCCCTGTTTCTCTCCCCTCAGGACCCATGAGGAACCTTGCCTTGTGGTGCTCCCTTGGACCATTCTGGGAGGGTGGTGGCCACAATCCTTACTAAATAAAATGGCACTCCCTCTACGGGTCTCCCAGCATGGGCTTTGTGGTCCCTAGGAACAGGCCAAGTCTGGTCTCTGCCACTCACTATGTATGGGATCTTGGGCAAGACACTCCTTGATCCAAGATTTGTTTGTCCTGAGAAAATGAGGATGACATTGCCAACCTCATGGCTGTAATTCATAGGTGAGGTGCTTCTATCAACAGAACTGCCGCGCCATTGGCAGTCTGTTTAGTGACTGGTCCCTCAGCCTCCAGCTTAGACACTGACTTTAAGAGATCATCCAGGGTCTCCATCTGCTTCTAGGTTCCTCCTGTCCAGGTGCCTAGGTCCTCTGGGTGGAGTTGCGGCTAAGAAAGAAGGGAGGGAGTGTTTACTTATAAATGCTGATTAAAACTTATTCTGAAGGAGGAATCCTCAACCTCTGCATTATTGATGTGTTGAGATGGATCTTTATTTGTTGAGGGGCTGTTGTGAGCATTATAGGATGTTTAGCAGCCTCTCTGACCTCTACCTACTAGATGTCAGTCGGGCCCCTCTCCAAATTGTGACATGAATATCTCCAGAAACTGCCAGATGTCCTTTGGAAGGCAAATTGTTCCTTATAGAGAACCAGTGTACTAGAGGCTGCGGGACCCTGGAGAAATGGTGGGGTGAGAGGCCTAGCAGACAGAGGGTTGCCAATCAGCCCCAAGTCCAGATGGAGTTGCCAGGGGAGTCCTGCCTCTGCCTCAGTCTCTCAGCCTGTGAGATGCATTTCCTGAGAGGCAGGCTGCCCAGGTCTGAGCAGTCATTCTTTGGCCTGACTCCACAGAGCCTCATTAATCTCCCATTAATTGATTGTGAGCAGCTGACCTTTCCTCTGCCCACCCATTACAGTCCTGCCTGGGGCGGAGGGACCAGTCATGCCAGGGAATGTGAGGAGTCCACGTGATTAGCCCTCAATCCTCTCAGAAGCCCTGCTACCTGAGGCCTGGCCTCTTGCCTTCCAGGTCCTAGCCCTCTTCGCTCCCTCTGCCTGCTCCACTTCCCTCAGAAAGGCAGCCAGCCCGGCTTCCACTCCACCCAGGAGTCGCATGTATTGACTGACGGTCTCCTGTGTGCCAGGCGCTGTCCCAGGTGCTGGGGATACAGCACTGATGGAGGCATGGACGTTGCCCACAGGGTGCTTATCTCCCCTTAGCAGAGACCCACAACAAGCAATAGAGAGAGGTGGTGGCTCCTGTCCAGCTCCGGGCACTATCACTGGGGAGACAAGTGACTATCTGTGAGCTAATGCTTATTTTAGGCAGAGAATAAAGAGGGAAGAGGAACTCCTGGGAACTCCTGAGTTCTTCATTTTTCTCTGTGTGTGTGTTTAATCAGAAATTGAACCCAAGAGACCTTAATCACTGAGCCACACCCCACTCTTTTATATTTCATTTGGAGACAGGGTCTCACTGAGTTGCTTAGGGCCTCACTAAGTTACTGAGGCTGGTTTTGAACTTGCAATCCTCCTGCCTCAGCCTCCAGAGCTGCTGGGATTACAGGCGTCGACCACAGTACCTGGCTAGGTCTGCATTTCTGATCAGGATAGATGGAGGCTTTGAAGCAAAGAAGAAGCTGTTGGGCTGGGGTGGTAGAGAGGGGAAGGGGTGGAGCAAAAGCAGAAGCCCCCATAGGCTGAACATTTTTGTCAAAGAGTTCAGCTTCCGTCACTCTGGGTGGCCTGAGCTGTATGCATCCCTGGAGAGCTGTGTGATGTCTGTCTTGTCCTTGTCACTGTCTCCATTGTCCCCACAGCTTGTTGTATTGCCTTGGACATCTCGAATTACCATGTGGACCATGTGAGTGCTCTCTCCCTTTTGCTCTTTCACCTGGTCCTTGGAGACAGCTCCACCCAGAACAGAGTGACCATGTGTGAGCAAGGGGTGTGGAGCTTACTGACGTGAGAGATGTAGGAGGGTGAGTGTAAAGCTGGGGACAGATTGGAACATGAACCTCCTCCCAGAGCCCCAACCATCCTGTCCCCAGCTAGAACTCAGCCCTTCTAGAACTCAGCCATCTGCTCCCTGCCTCTTCAGGTGGGGTTCACCTCCACCCATAGCCCCTCCCCTCTGTTGGGGTTGGGTCAGCAGTCTGCCCCTCTTGGGTCCTTTTGCCTGCCCTGGGATTCCACCCATTCCACAGTACCCTGGTACCTGGCTCCATGACGCAACTGCTGCGGCCTCCTGTTATCAGGCCACCCCTGTGGGGTGCGGTAGCTCCATTTGTTTAAGGCTTAGTCCTGAGGGGCCCCAGCCCCCATGACGTCAGACTTGGCTTCATATAACAGGTCTGCAGCCATGGTCCCCAAACTGCTGCCCAGCTCTAACATGGCCCAGCCAGCCGGTGGCCTTCATTTCACTTTTGGCTTCCAGTGCTGCCTCCTCTTTCTTCTAACTCCTTGGGAGGCAGGTAAGATACCTGCAGGGTTAAAAGGAGTCACAGTTACACAGTGGGATGGAACTCAGAGAGGGATTGTCTCTTGATTCATAAGGTTGGATGAATAAGCATATAAATGAATGAGGGATGTGGGGGATGGGTTGCTGTGTACAGTTGTCTGGGGCATTCACTGCTCAAGTTTGCCAGTTAAGGGGTGTAGGAAATGAAATCCAGCCTGCTCTTTAAGACCTGGCCTACAGAGCTGCACCCACCCAAAGGGGGCAGGAGTGTGGACCCACTTTTCTTTGTACTGGGAATTGAACCCAGGGGTACTTTACCACTGAGCTACATTCCCAATCCTTTTTAATTTTGGGACAGGGTCTCACCAAGTTGCAGAAGCTGGCCTGAAACTTATGATCCTCTTGCTTCAGTCTCCTGAGTAGCTGGAATTATAGGCATGCGTCACAGTACCCAGAGGGACCTGACGTTCATTGAGTACCTGTTTCACACAAGCAACTCACAGGTGCTCATGATACTTCATCTCACTTCACCTTCTCAACATGAGGAGATGATTTACTAACATTCTATCTTCTAATTGAGGAGAATGAGATCTAAAGGGCTTGCCCAAGGTCACAGGACTAGAGAGGGGCAAGCAGGAACTCTACCACTCCACACGGCCAGCTGCATGGGGTGGGAGGTGGGGTGAATTTCTCTCCTGAGAATGCTGTTATGTGCAGACTTAGGTTCTTGTCCTGACTCTGGGTCACTTAGCTCATCTGGACCTCTACTCCATCTGTAAAATGGGAAGGACACTGCTGGTCAATACCCTGAGCTGGTGCCTATTCAGCATTTGCTCCGCACCAGGTATTGTTCTAGGCACTTCATCCGTATTTACTTATTTAATTCTCACTGCAACTCAACAAGGTTCTGTCCCCATCTTACAGCTGGGAAGCATCCCAAGGCTTTGATGAGAAAATGAGCATGGAAAAATATTTAATGAGCAAAACAGATCCTATGGAATAAGATGAAATTGCTAAATTGTTTCACTTGCTTTAATTAAGAAACAGTTCTGGATCTGGACCAGAGAGCAGAGATGCCAAACCCAGGTGTCATTTGGAGGGCCTTGGGTGATCAGGAGGAGGGACTTTATGAGGTAGACGTGTGACAATATGTCAATTCAGAGAGAGTATCTACATCTGGGATAGAGTCAGCAAAGGTGGAGGTGGTGATGACCCCAAACCAGGGCTGAGGATGTGGAGTCTGAGATGCTTCAGGCAGGTTCTGGGGCATAGCAGGCAGTGTCTTCCTCTAATACTGTTTGACTGGGGATGATATTAGAGAATGCTCCTTCCCTGAGCTCAGTGTCCTGTTAGGGCCAGAGAGGGCAGGGGCTGCCTCTGACAGGTTCCACAGTGCACTCTATTCATGCCTTGACTTCATGCCTGTCCCCTTTTCTTGAAGGGTCTAGGAAGCACCAGAGCTGCCCTCAGCCTCCCTGTCCCCATCCTGCTTACCTGTCTTCCCATTCTGAGACAGTTGCTCTCTACACCTTTTGTCTTGCTGCAGCTCAGAGAAGAGGAACCTGTATAGGGCACAGGGGATTGAGTCATGAATCAATGACACACAGCCCTGGCAGGGAAATTTGCTCTAGGGCAGGAGGCAGGGCGCAGGTCAGAGGAGCAGCAACTGAGCCTCTGGGTTCTGTGGGTGCAGCCTGGGAGGTGCCTGCTACAGCTTGTCTGGGAGGGATGGAGAGTGAAGATGGAAGGAAGCAGGAGATGGGGTCTTAGAATGTAGAGCAGTGGGTGATATGGGGAGGGTTTGAGACTGGTATCAGGGTGGCATAGGGATCAAGTAGGTCTCAAGGCCATGGCTGTGTCTGGCAGCCATACTGGATGTGGCGTGAGGGGGAGACTCCTGGGATGGGTGAAGCCCTTGCCACAAAGTTCTGGGGTCCCCCCTAGCATTTATATTCAGGACTAGTCAATACCACTCAGCTATAGTGATAAACAAAACAAATCAAAATCCCTGCTACAGTGGGAATTAAACTGCATTTATTGTGTACTGGAGAGGGACAAGTGCCAGGTTGCTAAAATGCAGCAGGAGAAGTGGCTCAGGAATGCAGGCCACTGCCATTGTGGAGAGGGTGGTCCGGGTTGGCCTTCGAGGTGTTTGGAACAGGTGGGTCAGAGGAGAAACTTGGGCTGCTGCAGGCAGGTGTGTAGGGCCACAGGCTCAGACTTACAGACAACAACTCAAATTCAATACATAATTAAAGAGACTGCTATGCTCCATGCTTCCTTTGGCTCTCATGTTAAGCTGGTGCAGTCAGCATCATTGTTATTTATAGTTGAGGACATGAGACTTCAGAGCATGTAAGTGACTTGATCAAGGATGCAAAGCTTATGAGGACACAGCCTGGACTCCAACCCTGTCCTCCAATTCTTTAAGGCCAGTGAAATTTGTCACTCTGCATTGCTACCTGCTCTTTCTTGTATGCATTCAACAGATATTCATTCCTTATAATGTTAAAAAGCATCTGGGATATAGTAGAAAATCAGTCTTTACCAATTTCCTCACCTATTTGAATTGCTTTTCCCTCCCTGTAAAATTGTAAGATTATAACTCTTACTTTATGGGTTTGTGGGAAAGATTAAATAAACAAATATGTGGATTCTATACTTCAGGGGTTCTAAAAATGTTAGAGACAGCTTGTACTGATGTCTAAGTTGTGCACTGTGGTTGTAACCAGTAAGAGACTATGCTGGGAAGCCCAGAATGTGTGTTTAAATTCTGGCTGCACTTTTTATTTCCTGGGTGTTCTTAAAGAGATTATTTAACCACTCTGAACCTTGTTTCTTCATGTATAAATTTGGGAGAATACTAAATAGTTCTCAACATGAAAGGATTCTTGTGAAAAGTAAGTAACTTAGTGTTTGTTTGTTCTTGCTAGTAGGCCATGTATGTCTCATAGTAAATGCTCAAGAAACCTTGGCTGTTGCTATTGCTGGGAGGGCTGTGTAAAAGTCACTTGTCCTCCATGAAACTCTTGGTTCTCAGATGTAAAACAGGAGAGGTTGTCAGCATGTAAGAAACCCTGTAAGGGTTGGAAGGTATATCATCATATAAGAGAATGCTGAAAGAGAAGATCTGTGGTGTAACCAGTCAAGCACCAGGCCTAGTGAGTTAGCTTTCTGTTACTGTAAAAAAAAAATTGAGATAATAAACTTATGAAGAAGAAAGGTTTATTTTGGCTTACAGTTTTGAAGGGTTGAGTAAAGACCAACTAGATTCATCGCTCTGGGCCTGTGGCGGCCTATTGTGGTGGGAGCATGTGGTAGAGAAAAACCATTTACCTCATGACCAGGAATGACAAAGAAGAGGCTGTGGTCCCACGATCCCCTTCGAGGGTACACCATCAATGAATGGAAGACTTTCCACCAGGCCCCACCCCTAAAGGTTTCACCAAGTCCTATTGGGGCACCAAGCTGGGGACCATGCCTTTAAAACACAAACCCTTGGGGGACTCCAGATCCAAGCTATGGCACCTAGAGAAGGTACCCAATACATGATAACTATTATTAATTTTTTTGCCAAGGGAATGAGAATGCAATTGGCGAAGGGGAGTGACAGCCTGATAATTCAGCCCTTCTCCTTTTCCCCAACCTTAATTCCCTTTAGGGGCTTGGGTTTCTCTCTGATCTCTTGCCCCTTTCTTGTCCCACCTGTTATTCTTTCAAAGACTGAGTTCCTCAACCCCTGATTCTCCTCATCGCAGAGAGGTGGGTGGAAATGGTTTCCTATGGCTGGGAACAGCTCCAGGTTCTGGTCACCGCCTTGAGCTAACAGACACTGGAAATCTCAGTTATGTAATAGCATGATCTCCCTTGTTCTTTGGTGATCTCTGGTTCTTGCTTTTCTGGCCAGATATCAGGGACGTGTCCTCTGTCCCCATCTGGTTGTTTTCCCATAGAATTAAAGTCCATATCTGCCGATTGATAGGGATGTTTTCCTTCACACCCTGTCCTTAAACATAGTTAGTTCCTCCCAGAATACAGGTACCCCATTCACTCCTGTCAGGACCCCCAAGGAGCTACTTTCCCCTTCCTTGGAAAGAGGATTTCATTTCATAAGTCTGTATAGGAGCACCTGTGAGGCCAAGTGACAGTCAATCCCTGCTCTCAAAGCCTTGTAAGTTGATAGGCATGGTTGGAAGTAGATGTTAACAGGTTCAAAAACAAATGCAGATTTGGGCCTGAGTTCTGACCCCTGGGCGGTGGTCCTCTCCACTTGCTAGTTGGCAGAGGTATCCTCTCCTGCATGCTTCAGGCCCCAGGGGTTACCACCTCTGAGATTGTCACGGGGCTCTTGGAAGCCCAAGACTGTCCTGGGGGCACATCTAGCGCTGTCCTCCAACTTCTCTAGCAGTAGATGGATTTCCATGGTAACAGCTAGAAGGGAAAAATGGTCGTGCTTTTGGTGCCTGCTAAAGTCATTGTGATCTTGTTAGATATCGAAGAACATTTTATTTCCTTACATTAAAGAAAATGTTAAAGAGTATATGCAGACACATTGGGAAGAGGAGGAGTGCCAATCTTTTGAGAAAACAGGTTGAAGAAAATGCCCATGTGGATGGGGCTGTTCCAATATCTGCAGCTTCTGGGAATGGGGTAGATAACTTGTGCTGACAGATGTCTTTGGACCCAAAGACCACAGCACTCAAACAACTGCAGGGCCACCTGTGGAGGGCAGCATTTATAGCTGGGTGCATGAAAGCAGAGTTTTTTGAAGTTGTAGTTCCAGCAGTCAGGAAGTGGAGGGAAGCTGGAATGAAGGTGTTCATCTATTCTTCTGAAATCGTAGAGGCTCCAAAACTATCATGTGGGCATTCTACAGGGGGAAATATTATTGAGCTTTTGGATGGTCACTTTGACACCAAGATTGGACAGAGTGGAGAGTCAAAGTTATAGAAAGATTGCAAATAGCATTGGAGGTCCAACCAACCACATCTTGTTTCTAAGACATGTGACTTTTAGAAGCCAGTGTTACTGGAGAAGCAGGTGTGCATGTAGCTGGATCGGTGACAGATGGCAATGCAGGATTGACAGATGATGATAAAACTTCCTAAAGCCTCTCACATCCCTTAGTGAACTATACCTGCCTCCCTCAGCACAGAGGATCATTTCTACAGAAGACCAACTGTTCCTCAGAGTTGTCCCCCCAGTGTCTGGTTTTATTCTAATGGTAAAGTAATTTATTTACACAGACATATATATGTGTGCCAGTATATGCATGTGTATGCTCATTAACTTTCTTGAGCACATAGTGAGAAAAAAATGTCTTCAGTTCAGTGAAAATGAAACTTATGTAAAGATGCTCTAGATGTAGAAATAGTTCGAAACTATAACACCAACCTTTATTGAGGGCAAAGTGTAGGTGATAGAAGAAAATACAAATCAAATGTGTTATGATTATCAAATCCTATACTAAAATGAGAAATTAATTTTGAAAATTATTCCAAGGCCTACTACTGTAAATACTGGAAATACTTCAGAGACATTCTTAATAATTCATTGCCCTTGTTTAATGGTGAGTGGGAAAATTTACAAGCTGTATTTCCTATTTGCCTCCCTTGGGACAAAAGATAAAGGTATTTGTTTCTATTGCCAAACAGCAAAATTAAGAAAGAAAATTCACTTGAATCTTGATCAGTCAAGTATTTGTTACTTAAGAAGAAAATTACTAATCATGTGGCACCCATAGCCAGCACTTGCCTTATCAATGAAAAAGGTATGCTGATATAACAGCTAAAAAAGAAATATTGTTCTTAAAGTTCAACAAAATGATTCTAATTCTACTGGTTGTTACCAGTTGCCTTTCTAACTTTATCTTACACAGTTTAAGAATATATATTAATTGCTACTTACTATTTTTTAAAATAAAGTTTTGCTGAAATTAGTTATTAGCACCAAGAAGAGCCCTAATATATAATATTTCCCCATTGAATGTGAGAAATGTAAATTTTATAATAGCATTATTTGCCCAGGTTCAATTCTAATAGAATTACATGTCAGTTTTCTGTTGTAATTAATAAAAGCATTCTCTTCTTTCAGTTTTATAGAGGTTCTTCAACTATATCACATACTACCATAATCAAGACAAATTCAGATTGAAGAAAATTTTTTAAAATAAGAAATTTATTTTATTTTTGTCTTAATTATGTGTGTGATGTATGTGTTTTAATGAAGTGCCAATGGAAAAAATTGTTAACTGGCATTTGAATTATGTATACCTATATGGTTACTATTTCATCTGGGCTGTATGCATTCAATATATTAATGGGATTTCTTATGCTTTTGAGAGTCTTATGTTTGAAGCATTTCAGATAATGCCTGAAGGAGGCAATTATTTTTTAGTGAATCCTGGAGGGATAATTTTAGGAAGCTTCAAATAAGGAAAAGGAAAAGTTATAGAAAGATTGATCTTCTAGTAGCTAATTTAAAGAATCTAAAGACTACAAAATATAGAAGAATAGAAAAATAAAAATGAATATAAGAAATCTTAAAGATGGGAGTAATTTGTAAATAATGGCAAAATCACAAATGATCATAAAAGGATGAATTTATTTTTTGACTGGTAAAAGTGGATTCTTTATTTAAAAAAAAAATGGTACATGTGAGAAACATGCTCACCTCGCCAAACTCAAAGAATGGATCAAGAGACAAGAGACACAGCAAATAGTGATGTTTCACTTTGATGATGATCTTGCAAGATTGGGTGTCTTGCAAGACAAGGTGTCTCAGAGAGAGCAGGCACACACAGTTTGGATGTATGCAGCATCTTACCTGTAGAGTTCAAGGTCCCTTGCCCAATTCCTCATTGTCTGAGTATTATGGGGTGTATACAGTCTTCCCCAACATCACCTAAGTTTTATTTGCAGTGTCCTATTGGGTTATACAAAGGCGCATAATTTTAGTTGTTCCCATATCCCTTTGTTGTTTCATGGCAGGAAAGCCTTCTTGGGTGAATGCATTCTAACCCTTAGGCAGCTCTTAACTTCTTTACCTAAGTTACTATATATTTTTTTATTAGTTGCGCATGATAATACAATGATCTTGACATATCATACATTTGAATCAGATAGGGTATAATTTCCCATTTTTCCAAGTGTACAGGTTGCAGAATCACATTGGTTATACAGAAACGTATATTCATACAGCAATACTAGTGTCTATTTTATTCTGCTGCCCTTCCTATCCCCTCTTCCCCTCCCCTAAGGATGAATTTTTAAAAATACAGCAAATGTAATAACAACTTGAAGGTAACTGGAAAGAGTAATGGACTATTTTGAGAAGCTAAATGAAGCTAGATCTTATCCACTTAGAGGAACCAGAAAAGATGCCAGAAGGATGTGTGATTGAGGGCCTAGAAACAAACGTGGGAAAGGAGTAAGGTGGCATTTTTGCTGGAGGCACAGCCTGAGTAAGAGTCTGAAGCTAGAGGTAAGAATGGGGATTAGATAGCACAGTGTTTTTTTTTTTTTTTTTGTAGTACTGGGAGTTAAACCCAGGAGTATTTAACCACTGAGCCACATCTCCAGCACCTCTCACCCCATTTTTTGGGGGGTATTTTATTTAGAGACAGGATCTCACTGAATTGCTTAGGACCTTGCTATGTTGCTGAGCCAGCTTTGAACTCATGATCCTACTGCCTCAGCCTCCTGAGCCACTGGGATTACAAGCATGTGCCACTGTAACTGGCTGATAGCATGGTAATCTGAGGAGACTAGATGGGAGACACATCTTGAGGAACCAAGAATCCCTAGAAATGAAGGGAGACAGGGAAGAACTCATGGGAAATTTCTTATTTGCCTTTCTTCCTCCACAGGTGCTTCATTTCAAGAACTTCAGAAAAGTGGTGAATTGCCAACATCTGACCATTTATTCCCCCTCAATCCAGGTCTTACTTATAATACTAGCTCTAACCACAATCCTCCGCATACAGGACAAAGGCCTCCAGACTTCCCTAAATCTATAGAAACCCATAAGCCAAAACACAAGTGCAACACCACACACCCTTCCAAAGCAATTCACAAGCCTACAAACAACTCCAAAACTGTAGACAATGAAAGCTCTGGAGTTCATCACAAAGGTCCCTCCACTTCTGAACAAAACACCACTAATCAGGGAAAAGACTCAATTATTCGAAATGGACGGGATATCAATCCTGACTCCGCCAATCCACCAAAAGGACTGTCTGATGGAAGACACCCAACCTCAGCACCCAAGAGAACAACAACTTGTAGGACCGCAAAGAGCAATCCAACAAACAGAGCTACAACTGTAAGACCTGTGGAGACAACCATCAGTACTTTAGATAAGAAAAGTACCACTCCACGTGAAGCCACAATTCCTTCCCATAGCTCAGTCACTTCAGAGATAAACAAAAAAACTATGGTTTCATCAGAAAAAACCACAGAAGCCATGATGCCAGCATACAACACTACAAAAAATGAAGGAAAGACCACAACAGCTCATGAGAAGGCCACAGGGGCTCATGTCACACCTACAGAACATGGAGGACAGACCACATCTGCCCATGAGAAGGCCACAGGGGCCCAAGTAATACCTACAGAACATGGAGGACAGACCACATCCTCCCATGGGAAGGCCACAGGGGTCCACATCACACCTACAGAACATAGAGAAGATACCATATCCACCCATGAGAAGGCCACAGGGGCCCAAGTAATACCTACAGAACATGGAGGACAGACCACATCAGCCCATGAGAAGGTCACAGGGATCCATGTCCCACCTACAGAACATGGAGGAGAGACCACATCAGCCCATAAGAAGGCCACAGGGGCTCATGTCACACCTACAGAATATGGAGGACAGACTGCATCCTCCCATGAGAAGGCCACAGGGGCCCAAGTAATACCTACAGAATATGGAGGAGAGACCACATCAGCCCATGAGAAGGCCACAGGGGCTCATGTCACACCTACAGAACATGGAGGACAGACTGCATCTGCCCATGAGAAGGCCACAGGGGCCCAAGTAATACCTACAGAACATGGAGGACAGACCACATCAGCCCATGAGAAGGCAACAGGGGCCCAAGTAATACCTACAGAACATGGAGGACAGACCACATCAGCCCATGAGAAGGCCACAGGGGCCCATGTCC